TCCCCGCCGTAGGCCAAAAAATTGTTTTTCTCTGCGGTCTTTCTCTGCAGGTCTGACAAAAACTACTCAAAACCCCCTCAAGTAAAAGACCGGCGGTCAGTTCCCTCTCTCCCTATAAATCACTGGCACACCTCATACTGTTGGGAACGGTTCCTTGCAATCTTCGAGCTCCTGTCGCAGTCATGCCCAGTAGAAAGTTGTAATCATCAAATGTTGTGCGTAATTAGCATATTGTGGAGTCGGAGTAGACAAAGAACTAGTCTCGTCTACCTGAAAACTAATCCTCTGATATAAACGTATACTTAAGCTCGTAGCTCTTCGAACGGCTGAGAAAACACGCCCTCGAAGACGGACTTCAACATGACTGCGGCAGCCCCAATACCATGAGTGTGAACACTTTCAGATGACAGAGAGCATTTTTTTCTTATTTTCCTAGACCCCACAAGCCATGTTGTTGTAAAGTGCGCACGCTACGGGCTGGCGTCGAAGTGGGTATGAATAATAGGCCATCTTGCTGGAGGAATTCACAAAGTAAATAAGAATCCAGCATTCGCCCCTCGGCAATGTCTACTTCGAAACCTTAGGTTGCTTGGTCAGAGGCTTCGCGTGACCTTTAAAGTTTTTGCTGCGAATGAATGCCTCAAAGGTAGGAATGGCCAGTCTTTGTCTTGGCGCCGATCGCCTTGAGAATCTGCCAAACGACCTTTCCGGGAATCAAAATAAGACGAAATTCTTCAAAACGGAATAACAGGATAAAAACTATTAACGACTTCGACCCAGCATAAATTATGATTTCTTGTGAATTTAGGTGGAATCGCTTCTTGCCGTTTCATAAATAATTGACCTACTATTTATTTTCTACTGACATGTAATCCCCCTTATAGTAGGTCAATTCCAAAATGTTCTGCAACGCGTGAGCGACTTATAATATCCAAATTCCAATCGCGTTTTTGTCATGGCATTGACAGTTAGTTCTGATAGCAAATTTTAGAATTCCTCTCAGTATTTTTTTACATTACATCGTCCAGTTAAATTGACAAAATGACAGAGTGATTAGAAGAGAAGCTGTGTTCGGTCCCTGCGCCTTCGGTTAGCAGGACTGGTGGGCTGAGAGTTAAGCTGCAACGGCTACCTCTTGACTTGACGTGGCCTGTGGCACTCTCACGCATGTGAGACGTATGTCGACCACCCCTTGAGGCGTGACCTACCGGTGCTTGTGTTGGGGGGTCCAGATCGTGCATTTGGCACACGCAGACGAGCTGTCAGCCAGTGCCTTCATTGCCCGCACCGGACCGCCTTGGGAAGTGGCTGGAGCCTGAGGAATGGGAAGGGAGAGTAAGATCGAAGATACAGTGCATTTTTCTCATTATAAACAGCCTAACGCGCCTGAAACTATCACGGTGCGCCGAAAACCGTGGTTTAGAAGGCTATCAACTGATGGGAAACTGGGACAACGCAGTCGGCCCAGTGATTGTGCGGAGCGGCCGACTGGTGGTCTAACAGACCGGCTGCGATGAATCCTTTTTACTGGGGTCTTAAGGGCACTCCCACTCCGTGGGAATCCGAACCGGCTGTGGTGGCACGCCAAGAGGCGTCGCCGGCCGCGCCGGCCGCCCGCGTTCTCTTCGACCTTTCAGTTTTCTTGACTGTCTTGATACGGATCCCAGGTGAGAGAGGAGGGGGGCGTGTGCTAGACGCTGTGAAAGTCTTCTTGCACTGGTAGGGGACGCTCACCGATCGTTCTTGCGGAACTCACTCGTTCCGTTGTGCCTTATGAGCTTTCTCTCGAGCCCAACCAGCAGCCGCATAGCGACGCTTGATATAGGCAGAATGGTATTACCGGCAGGGACAAGGCGGACTGGAATGGCCATTTCTGACTTATTAGCCGTTATCAACCTGTCGTACTCAACTCCGAAGTGTGAAACACCCGAGGCTCGAACTCGCGACCTGCTAGTTTAGAAGTCCACGCCTCGGGTGTTCCAGACCTCGGGGTTGGGTATGACTGGCTGACGACGGCTAACAAGCTAAAAGTGGCCATTCTTTTCTTCCTTGTCTTTTTCGGTAATGCCATTCTGCCTATATCATGCGTCGCTATGCGGCTGCTGGTTGGGCTCGAATGAGAGCCCATAAGGCACAAAAGAACGAGTGTGTTCCGGAAGAACGATCGGTGAGCGTCCCCTACCATTGTATATTCCTGATGGAAATTGACAGAGCAACGGGCTCGTCGCCCAGTCGTTAGAGGCGTGGACATCTAACTAACAGGTTGCAAGTTCGAGCCTCGTGTGTTTCACACTTCGGGTTTGGGTATGACTGGCTGACGTCGGCTAATAAGCCAAAAATGGCCATTCCAGCCTCCCTTGTCTTTGTCGGTAATGCCATTCTTCTTTCACTATCAACTACTTCACACCTGCTTTCACCCTGGTACGGAGCACACGGTGAAAATCGTCAACATCGACGGCGGAACTGTTAGCAGGACCGGAAGCACAAACTGGTACCCTTACTGAGCAAATGGTTCACAGAGTATTCCCGGCAGATAATTTATTAATGAAACGGGGCTGTATTTCTCAGTCCTTTATCATCTACCAACATTGAAGACGTAATTTATACTCTCCTATAGGACAGGGCAGTCATCGACGTTTATTTGTTGACCCAGTTTCGAACAACTTGGTGACTTCAATGGGATTCAAGCACAGGAGAGCAGGTTCAGGGTCGGAGTACAGCTAACACTCTAACCACCCCGTCTGCAAGCCCCCATCAGAAGCCATGCGTTTAACAATCCATAGATCAGGCCACCGGCTGGAACTTACCAATTCTGACACGTTAGACTAACTGTCCAAGCAGGAGTTCTTAAGTAATCATCCCCGAAACTAACCGTATGACTTGCAGACTCACTGGATTACTGGGTGTTTTGGCGCAGTTGAATAATTTGCTCAACCCATCTGCTCAAAACATGGCGGAATTTGAACCCACAGTATCAAAAGCAGAGCTATAGTACAGCTATCATTCTAGCCACTTGAATTATAAAACGTTAACTGTGAGCCGTGTGTTTGAACCCACCTGAGTTACGTTAACCACCTAAGCTACCGTGACATATGGAAGCAATTAATCTAGAATCCATGAGGTTCCTCGAAAATTCCCATATTCCGATTAAAGAGTCAGTTGGTGAACACATGTTTTCGGTAACTCAACATCAGGCCGATACATTGATAGGGGTAATGATCATTCTAATTGTATACAGGATATAAATGCGTCTCAGGGGCAGAGTTTATAGGACCTCATGTTCCCATGCCGACCGCATGACGGAGCCAGTGTGGTGAGGACGGTGGAGGTGGGTAAGAGGGCGAGGAAGGAGAGGGGTTCCGGCTAGATTGTAAGCGCTGTAAGTGCGTGTGACTGCTCTCAGCGCAGAGAATGAAGAAGCGATCACTGGAGCAAGAAATTTATTGGCCTGACGTTTCGGATTCTCACTCGAATCCATCATCAGAGACACTCGCAGACAAAGGTGATGGTGGCACCAGGAGTGCGGTATTTATAGCACGTGGCTGCCGTGGGACCGTATGCGCACTGCAATTAACAGTTCTCGCAATCACCGCTGGGGTCGTAATTGATGCGGTGGTGGCTTGTCGGTCCGAGACCGAGTCGGTAATTGCCGTAATTTCGTTATCCGTGCCGGATGCTGGTTTGACGATCGCTCGGCAGACTGGCTCACTGTCACTGTGATAATTGCTCGCCCGCGCCCTCCCCACGTGACTGATTCTCCTGCCCAGGGAAAATCTCAGCACGGAATATGGTACCGGGAGGTCATTGTGCTTGTTGATGGATTGCGGGCCTGAGAACCATGACTCGAGCAGCTCGCGGCTCACGCGGTTGTCACCCCTTGCGAGGATTTCGACTTCTTGAAATTTGAAAATATGGCCGGGTCCCGTCGAGTGTGCCGCCACCTGAGAGCTAGTGTCTCCCCGCCTCACTGCTGCTGCGTGCTCGGCAAGTCGCGTACGGAATAATCTCCCAGTTTCTCCGACATAATTGCTTTGTCCGCAACTACACCAGATCCGGTAAACGACTCCAGACGTTTCCTGCCGTGGCAGCGGTTCTTTTGGCCTCATGACTTGCCGCCTAATGGTTGCTTCCGGCCTATGTGCAACCCCAACTCCAAGTGGAGTGAGAAGACGACTGACGGCTTCCGAGACGTTCTTCACGTACGGAAGAACCCGCTAAAATTTGAGGCCGGTTGGATTTGGTCTCTGGTGTCCTTTTCGTATGCACTGGTTGACAAAGTTGCGCGGGTAACCATTGGCTCTCATTACCCGTCGAAGATATTGTAATTCAGCAACCTTGTCTTCCATTTCACTGCTGTGCGTCTCGACGCGCCGGTATAGCGCCTTTACGCAACTGCGTTTGTAACTGGTTGGGTAATCGCTATTGAAGTTCAGTATTTGCGTGGTATTTGTCGCTTTCTTGAACACTTTGCGGCAGACGAGGACATTCAGGAAGGCCAGCAGGTTGTTTTCCTCTTCCTTCATCGTAAATTGAACGTCCGAGAAGACGGCGTTGAGATGTTCTTTGAATGTCAGCACCTGATCCCGTTTGATGACGACGAAGGTGTCATTCACATACCGAGCACAGAATTTCGGTCTGTGGTGTCGGAAAACCAGCGACTCCAGTCGTTGTAGGACCGCCTCGGCTATGAGTCCGGAAATCGGCAAACCCATTAGCCTTCCCTTCACCTGCTCGTATATTGTTCCGTCGAACGTAAAATACGTCTTGAGAGAAAACTTCAGGAGCTTAATCATTTGGGCGTGTCTAAGGCGATTCTCCGTTTCGTCGTATTTCTCTCGTAGGAGTATTTCAATGGTCTCGACAGCCAGGTCCTGCGGGACAGAAGTAAAAAGGGACGTGACATCAAAGGAAACCATGAAATCGCTTGGCAGAAGGCTAACCCCTTTAAGTTTCTCCAAGAATTGCGTTGAAGAGCTGACTGTGGTGTTCGAATCGGAGGTCAGAAACTTGAGACGTTGGAACAGCCACTGTGCCAGTCCGTAGGTTGGAGTGCTTTTTAGTGATACGATAGGCCGGAGAGGAGAGCCATTTGTGCGTACTTTGGGAGACCGTAGAATCGGGCCAGGGCGGTTTCTTGTGCTCTTTCAATGCGTCGGTCGATTGGAGATATTGCACCTGAGTTCACCATTGCCAACATCGTCGCCTTAATCTCGCGTGTCAGCGTTTTTACGGGGTTGGATTCGCATGAGACATAGGACTGACGACCCTCGAACAAGCTATTGGTTTTTTGATTGCAGTCTATCATGTCCAATACGACCGTTGAACGCCCCTTGTCCGCAGGCACGATAACGAGGTCGTTGTCGGCCCTGGGTTCCTTAAGTTCATCGCGCCCGACCTTGGAAAGCACGTCGCGCAGCTCATAAGCCATGAGGAGAGAGGACACTTGGTGTCGAATGGGGTCCTTTGTTTCGTCTGTCGCTCCCATCTGGCTGAGGATTGATTCCACTGCTGCGACCACGTTGGCAGGTTTGGCATCGGTTGTGTTGAATGCGGCCTCATGCCGTAAAACCTGCATTTGTTCCTCCGTCAGCTCCTTTGACGACAAGTTGTGCACCAGTTTGTCGTTCTTGGATGACATTGGAGCAGGCAGCTTACGAAATTTGCTCTCTAGGAATGTTTCGCTTGTTGCTTTATGTTCGCGGGTTCGCTCGGCCAGCCTCTGCTGAAGCAGTTTTATGCCGTCCTCGCCCATGAACTCGCAGTGCCTTGTTTTCTCTTGGTCCATTCTCTGACGGTATTTACGAATCCGTGAGTGACAGTCTTGAAGGAGCACTCGGATCATTCGTCGGCCGTGCTGAAGTACTACACGTCTGGCCAGCTCTGTGTTGACCGGAGCTTTGTATGAAACAGACTTCGGCAGCACATTTTTGTCGAGACACCTGTGCAGAAATCGAATCTGCGCATCTGTAGACGACTCTCGAAGGGCAAAGGTTTCCCACCGTCGAGTCGTGCGCTCAGGGCGTCATGACGGCGTGCGATCCCCGTCTGGGGTCGGCCAGAGCAGACTGACTGTTTGCGTCAACGTCTACTGACAACAGAGTGCTGCGTTCGCTAGTCAATGGACCCCTGTTCCGGCCGTGGCTAGCACCCGTTTGCGCAGGCCTTTAGAGTAATGTGCCGGTGCTCGGTAGATAACTTTAAAGTTTAACGTCGACTTGGTGGCTCGTATCGATTAGACGTGCGAGAACTGAACTCGAAATCGATCGATTTTCAACTCTACCTAGCCAGGCAGGCATGTGTTCGCATATTCTCTTTTACATACGCCTCGTTGTACGGCTCATATATCCCGCTCCACAGGATTAGGTAAATGAATAAATATACACTGATGTGACCTGTGTGGTCAACAGCTACGATGATCGTTACCCAGTGTAAAAGTTTTTGCCGGATGATGAGTTTCCGAAAACATATATTCGTCAGCTGACTCCTCAGTCCATGAAATGACCACCAGACTTACCTCATTTATGGGTTTTTCCTGATCTGAGTAGTTCCTTTGACCACAATTAGATTAAGCTTACGGCTCTCGGCTAGATTTTAGTAGCGCAGATGGCTAGATTATTGGCCGTGTCAAGCCCTGCTTTTGCTGTTGTAAGTTACAGTCCAGGTCATTCAAAACACCCATTAATTAAGTGAGTCTGGTGGTCATCCAATGAAGTCTGAGATCGATTACCTAGAAGCTCCTACCTTATCACAATTGCCGGGATGGCCTTGGCACAAACATGATCAAACTCAGTCAAAGCCGCGTGGCTAAGGTGGTTAGATCGTTGGCTGCATATGAGACTTGTCCTTACTGTCGTGGGGTCGAGTACCCCCCCCCCCCCCAAGGACGCCAAGGATTTCACATTTGGAAAGTCATTTAGCAAACACATATTATGGAGCATTCATCATCAAGCCACTACTACATGGCGAAAGAATTTCTGAGCTTTGGACAGGGATTATGTGTCTCGGGGGGGGGAGGGTTAGACACAGTCGTCGTTCCCACGCCTCCCACATGACAGAGTCAGCGTTCCGACAACGTCGGAGCGGGGAGAGGAGTCTGGGGTTGGGTGTATGTCAAACAAACGGATGTCATGTGACTGTTCTCAGGAGTCGGTGCGGCGTGCGATCGGTACCAGCAGTCGGGCAGGGAAGAAATTCCTGCCTGAATGAACGTCTGTTGTCAACAGAGCGCTGGGTTCGCCAGTCGATTAGCCACTGCTCCGCCTGTTGCTAGCACCCGTTTGCGTAGGCCTTTAGAGAAGTCTGCTGGTGTCCGGCGGACAACATGAGAATCTTTATTGACGTCGACTTGGGGGTTCTTATCGATAAGACGCGCAAAAATCAAACTTTAAATCAATCAGTCCTGTCCTTTATCTTACTAGGCAGGTACGTGTTGGGGGATGCCTTTTTCCATACGTTTCGTTGCACGGCCAATGCACCCCGCTCCACAGGAGCAAGGGGATGAATAAACACAACGATGCAGCCTGCAAATGGGTCGCATAAAAGGCCTACTGCAAATTACAAATGACCACTTATTAGGTCACCGTGGGATCGAGCTGACGATGGTCGAAGTCAGTAGACAAGGAGACGGAGAGGCTGGGATTTAATCTGCGCCAGTCGTTTATCTGTCTTTTAAAGTCATTTATACACCAGCCCACCTCTGCTATACTGTTTGGAGCTCTTTTAATCAGGGAGGCAAAAGTGCTCGGTGTAGACATACTCGTATGTGAGCGCATGTTTGTGTTTCTGGTCTCATCTGGTGGTAAGGGTTATGATTGGCTGAATGAGGGCAAAACTGCCCATAACAGTGCTTTATCAATGAACTCGCCAGACTCTGTCGTCTCCGCTCTGTTTCATATTTCTGTACTCGCACACCATAAAGTAACGTTATTCTATGACTAAATAGTCAATAAAGCATTGCTTTAGCTTACTACGTTGACTTTCTTGTAACGCTTAGAAGCGTACTTATATAGGAATGCTGGAGAGGGCTCATACAGCATGCTCTAAAAAGCGCTGTAAGCTGAATGTTCACTGTATAATATCTCGGCTCTTTCTGATTAAACAAAAAAGTAACGCGACGGCCACAGGGCCTACCAAAACATGAACATCCGAACAGGTGAAAAAGTCCGCATATGACTCATACAATGTCTAGGACTAACTGCGCTGAACTGCTGAAATGTCTACTACAGACTCACCTGATCGCATTTGAGTATAAATTCGAGATAAATATGGGAAAAGTGATTTTGAGTTCAAACCCTCCTACTCTTTCCGGGGGTTTCGAATTAGAACTTTTTTATTGTTCATGATTCTTAAAGGCCGGACTCTGCAAAGAATAAATCCCATGGACAATATAAACTCTACAAAAGGCTGCAGTCATCGAGACGCCTTCAACCACCATGAGGCCCCGGCCAAACCGACTTGATCGGGGGACGGAGCAGACTTCTTGCTCTTGTCTGTAGCAGTCCTGTCCTGGAGTCACTCAGAAGACTGAACAAAGAAGACCTCCAGAACAGCTTTTGTCTGTCTGTCGTCTTAAAACTACCGAGAGTTTTACATGGACAGACGTTTCGACCCAGACTAGCAGTACGATTTGAAATCTGACAGCATTTGAAGCTAGAGCTGAAACAATTGGCATGAAAGGTTGGTGGTCGCCAGGTAGTATTCCCCTGAAAAGAAGATTCCTCATGGGACTGCATCGTTCAAATACGTTTGTGGTGCAAATTGCAGACGCAGATGTGACTGGTCAAGCTCCAAAATCTGATGAAGTTTTCTTTGTGGTGGAGTCAGACTTAGCAGTGCCGACTCATCTCAAATATGGAGTCTATTGCACACTACTATTCGGGTCATGAACCTCACTAAAACGTACACGAGTATGGCAAAAGCTTTCACTTGAGACTGTATGTGAGGCAGTTCTGCAGAAAAGTGAGAATTTGTGGTCCCTAGTTATTTCAATGCGACGGTTATCGGTGACATACAGTGAGTAACCGATCACATTAAATGTTTGCCGAAATTCTGAATTGCAATTTTGAATTAGAAAGGATTGCTTAGGTGGGTTGTAATACAGATTACCATACGGTATGTTCTTATAGTATTTTGGACTTGCCAGGAAATTAACGTTCGACCTCCTGCGAAAACCGTGCCCGGCAAAAAATGACTTCTTAAGTGACACGCATTTTTCGCATTGATTTTCCATGGTCTTATGAATTTAAACGGATTTTGTAGAAAACATACGCAAAAGTATGCTTACGTTTACTCTTTTAGTAAAAAGTCACACTGTCGTTAGACTTTGTACTTTAAGAAATATTGCCCTTTGGTGTTCAAAGGGTTTATATTTATAAGATCTCTAAAGCTGTGCGATGTGTACACACAGAATCTCACATGTTCGTTTACCAAGGCTCCTCATGAAATCTGCAACATAGTCCGCATCCATCGCAAAATTTTATGACCTTTTTATAGTATTTTTTAAAGTCATAGACGAATATGTGATTTTTTCACGCTGAAAGCGTGTACTTTTTAGATTATAATCGCTAAACGCTAATGCAATGACAAGTCAGGTTCGAAATCATTAGGGAATTGGGAATCATTTTCAAAACCCAACTATACACCCTCATGCGGTTTAAAATGTAAAGACAATGTGACTTTCTACCAAACAAGTAGGAGAAAGCATATTCTGTGCCTGTTTTTGTAAAATGTATTCGAATCTATAAGACCCTTTGAAAATCACTGTGAGAAATGCCCGCTACTTCGGTAGTCATTTTTGTCAAATTTGATTTCTTCAAGGGGTAGAAAACCAGTGCATTCGAAAGTAGACCTCTTGGCAAGTCCAAAATGCTATAGCATTTTGCCGCATGAAAATCAGTATTATAACCCACCTAAGCAATTCTTCCTAATAGAAATTGCAAGTCATACTTTTGGCCAACATTTCATGAGATCAGCCGTGCGCTTTATCTAAATTTTATCACTCTAATCTGTTCCAACTGCAGACAAGCTGACTGAGAAGTAACCGTGCGTGGATTTAATGAGGGAATATAAGTGTACTTGTGTCAGTGAGAGAGAGAAAGTTTTCTTCTGCGCTAATGAATTACCTTTTAAAGGTACGCATGAACCTATTTAGAAATAACGTGTTTGTTAAAGCAGTCAGTTTGAGATTGTCTGACAAGAGGTGAGGATTTTTTGCTCAGAAGACAAGTACATGCATAATTCCAGGTGCATTCTAAATTATACAGTATATATTGCCGGTTTCTGATCCTGTCCCGCAAATCAAAGCACTGCTGTGGACAAACTGAGTTTGAGTAGCAGGCACTAGGTGATCATTTTGAGGTGCAGGGAAACGGCTTCTGCATTTGTTAATCGCTGTTGAATTCAGGAAGCCTCCCCTTGCATCTGTGAGTCAAATGACCACCTTAGGCTTGTTTTTCGAGCGTAAGTTATGCATTTCCTCTTCCTGCGCCAGTAAATTCGTGAAAAACTGCAGATCCGGACGGCTTTGCTAACAACGTTCTGGAGAAAAATCGTTCGTTTTCTTACATCACTGCTCAGAATACTGGCTTTAGGAATGTCGACAATCCGCTTACATTCATTGGGCTTGCATCCACAATAAATAGAGCTTGAAGATGATAATTCAATCTGTAAAGCTGTCCGAAATCCTACTATGGCACATTTCAGACGAAACGTAAATTTTGGGAGAAGAGGCATTCGCTCGAAGGTCTTGGCGTT